ATATATATATATATATATATATATATATATATATATATATATAGTTATCGAAAGTTAGATTGTATTTGGGCTATATAAAGAAATATATACCCGAGAATGGATAAAGTATTCACAATTATATAAAAAATATATACTCGAGAAGTAAAAATCAGACGGAATGGATAGAGTATTCACAATGGTTATGAAGAAGAAACTTAAACTGAAAATCAATGATTCAACATGTTTTAATAAGAAAATCATATTATACGATACATTATGTAAACCGTAATTTTAAAAGTACGATGTTATGATTGGAAAATAAACAAAAGTATAATGTTATAATTAACAAAAGTATCATAATTTTGTTAATTATAACATCATACTTTTATTTATTTTCTATTATAGCATCGTACTTTTAATATTATATTACATAATATTTTGGTTTAAAAAATATACCGTTTGATTTGATTTTATAATTAATTTAATTTGATTTTATAATTAATTTAATTTGATTTTAAAATTTACTTAATTTAATTTTATAATTAATTTAATATTTTCTTCTTTGTTATTAGTTTAATTTGATTTTATAATTAGTTTTATTTTAATATTAATATTAATTTGATTTAATAATTAATTTAATTTAATTTTATAATTAATTTAATTTGATTTTAAAATTAACTTAATTTGATTTTATAATTAATTTAATATTTTCTTTTTTGTTATTAGTTTTTTTAAATTAATTTAATTTGATTTTATAATTAATTTGATTTTATTTTAATATTAATATTAATTTGATTTTAAAACTAATTTAATTTAATTTTATAACTAATTTAATTTAATTTTAATATTAATATTATTTTGATTTTAAAACTAATTTAATTCGATTTTACAATTAATTTAATATTTTATTTTTATTGATTTTTTTTTAAAATTAATTCAACTTTATTTTATAGTTAATTTAAAATTACTAAAAGTACGTTGCTATTAATAACCTAGTTAAGCTAAAGTCGTAATGACCAACATTAAGTCACTAACAAAATTAAGCACTTTGAAACCATATTAACAAGAAAATAAAAACATAATAAACTTCTAATGCAATCATACATGTAAATACAAATACTTCAACTTATCAAATACTTTAACTTATCAATTAAGCATTTTACAATACAAACAATAGCATCTAAATATAAAAACTATAACTTATCAATTAAGAACTTTATCACTTCATTTAATATACACTCAAACTATTAAACCTAAATATCACATAATCATACATATATACAATACATTCAATTCTAATTTTTATTTCATTTTAGACATACAATACCACTTTCATATTCCAATTTCATACAATTAAGCATACAATACATCCAATTCATTTTCCAATTTCAAACAATTAAGCAATACATCCAATTTCATACAATCATACCTTATACCACCTAACATTCTAGACATCAAATTTCAATTTCATACAAATGTATACATCTAAATACAAAATCAAACATCATTCCTAATTTCATTTTCATGCCAATGCACCACAATGAGCATAAACAAATCATGCCTAACTTCATTTTCATTTTCATGCCAAAACACACTTTCATACCTCAAAATGCATATATAAGCAATCAACCAAACAAAATCTAAGAAAAATTATATATCATGGTGTATTGAAAGGAAAAAAAATCATAAACTTCATTCACGTACTGTGGTGTGTTAATAGGAAAAAAATCACAAAACTTACCTCAAAATCGGTGGTGAAGATAGCTGAATCACCCGAAATCGTTTTCTCTGGCGGTGGTGAAGGTTGTTGCCGGAGGTGATGAAGGTTGTGATTTAGGGCTCCAACAACCAAAAATAAATCCCCCAAAATCAGAGTAAAAACTCAAGCTATTACAAATTAAGAAGAAATCAAGGACCAAGAACCATACCTTTAGGTCGCCGATGAACGGGAGTGGCCGGGAAATCGTCTGCGTCGCCGAAGTTTGAGAGGGAAAAGAAAGTGCAAGCGACTGCAAAATGAACGCATGTTGCGAGTTTTGTTACAGGGAAACCTATGCCGACGTCAAGTCGTCGATATAGGTAAAACAAAACTACGTCGTTCCACTTTACGTCATTAAAAAAAATAAATAAATAAGGGTTTTCCAAACGATATATCGTCTGGACAGATATTTCACGCGGATCAATCCGACTTTTCCAGACGACATGTCGTCGGTATAAGATTACGAAACGACATCGTCTTCCTTTTCTGCGACACAGATTAAAAATAAATCGAATTTTTTTTTTAATACCTTATACAGACGACATGTCGTTTGCATAGATTGACGAAAACGACGTCTTGATTTTCTGCGACAAAGAATATAAATAAATCGAAAATATTTTTTTAATATCTTATACCGACGACATGTCGTCGACATAGGTTTTTCGACATACCGCCAATATTTTGCCCCTTCCCGCCTAGTCTATGCAGACGACGTGTCGTCGACATAGCTGGTCAAAGACATATGGTCAAAGTTGCAAAATGTTGTACCGACGACATATGTCGTCGGTATAGCTTAGCTTTTGCCGACGACATATGTCGTCTGGATAGGTGTCATCTGTACACGTTGTTCTTCTTGTAGTGGTTGTACAGGTTTGCAAGAATGCATTCTGAATCTTCTACCTTCTGTTTGATCATGATGTTTTTCGTATTTTTCTGGCTGTCGTAATAAAATCATTCTTGATAATTTGGGGGAATAGGTAAGTAAATATATGTATTATTTATTATAATACTTAATTACATCATGCTTTAGTGTAGAAACTTCTTACATGTGACTTTTGGAAAGCACGTATCGACATCAGTGTGTAAGAAAACATGTGATACATGTAAAGAATAAAGATCCAAATTTAGTGATGAAGAACTTGGAGGAGCTTAAAAGTTAAAACCATGTGTTCTCTTCGTAATAGAATTTGAGCCTTACATATACTTGTAAATAGGTATGTTTTATTTAGGAATTAGGAAACTATTTTCCTTCATAAATCATGCATCTTTTTATTAATAATTGTTATATCCTGATGAATGTTTGTTATGTCTCAGCTCCTCAAAGTCGTTTGGTGAAGTGGAATATTGGTCTCGTGATATATCCCGGCATTGGTTTTTTTGCCTGTTTTTGTGCATCATGGTTGTTTCGTTGAGCTCCCAGATCAGCAGTCTCATCTGTCCAAGGCTATACATAAGCTAAAAAAAAGGGTCAACAGGAGGAGGATATGCTTCTGCTTCATGGTTTACTTGGTTAGTTTAGCAACATCTGTTTAACAAATAATCATTATCAGTTACTTTGCCGACTGATCTCTCATTCTGGAATTAAAAAATGTTTGTTTCTGTTAAAAGGAAATAGCACGTCGCTATTTCATGTAATTGTTTTTGTTGATCTTTTAGTCCTACTTTTATAGCACAATACCAAAAAAAAAAAAAAAAAAAAAAACACTTTATAGTTTGGAAGGAGATAGGGCTGTGAAAATGGCGATTTCATCATAAGAAAACCCTAGGATTTCGATTTCAAGTTTCTTGGTTCAATTAGAGCTAGTGGTGAAGTAATCAATTGGTTCAAGGTATACTTTCTTCCTCCCTTTGTGTACAAATCCAAGTTTCACATTTTGTTTAGGAGTTGAATTCGATTTTCATCTCTCACATACGGTTTTGTGTTCTAAGCAAGTTAAGATGATTATATTGGTTTCTAACTCAAATCCGTTTGTTGAGTTTGTTTGGTTGCTGGCTGTACTAACTAGACCTATAAAATTACATTAATCAGTGAAACTTGATTGGCATGGGTGAATAGTTAGTAAAATTTTAAAAAACACCATTCAGTATAGTATTGACATGATAAGATAATAATTAGGAGTGAAACAGGCGAATAGACAACTGTAACTTGAAAACATTTCAAAAAAGAAATTCTATTCTTTAGGTGACGGGGAGAGTGGAATGGAGTAACATGATACCTTCAACGTCTTTGATTATTTTCTGATAGGTTCACCAATTCTGTGAAGAAAAGTTTCTTTGGCATACTGCAGTTGTTCAATGACTTTGTTGATGTGTAGCCGGTCTCTTGGCAATTCCATGGAGCAAGCAATCCCAATTCGATAGACTGAAGTCAGGCACTCCTCCATTATCCCATACCTTTCGCAGTCTTCTGTATCTTTAGTTATATGTTTCTCTTGCTTGGTTTCCAAAAGGTCACGATCGGTTATCTCCCTAACTTGGTGTGGTATAGCCGTTTTAACAAAATCATGAAGATTCAAACTGCTACTGAACATGTTGTGAGTAGGACGTTTGCCCGTAAATGACTCCAGTATGAGAATTCCGAAGCTATAGATATCGCCATATATTGACATCTGGCTACCCATTCCGTGTTCTGCATAGTTAATTTACACATGAAGAAATGCAAACAATAAACATCTTAATTTGCTTCAGTGCTTATGTTTTCTTGCAAGCTCTATAAGTAGACCTACATTAGATGAATTCTACAACGACCAGATAGATTTTTCATACCACCGTTGCAAAAAAATTATAAAAGAATATTAATTAATAAATGTATTTTAGGGTGGATATACACCCTGGTATAATTTATACAAAATCCATCATACTGGTTAAGCTGATCCTCTTTTGAAACAACTAACAAGGATGACCAGTATAAGCTTAGTCTCAGTTTTGAAAGCATTAGGAAGGGAATTTTATTTCAGAAACTTTGTTTTGCAATTTGTCAAAAAACTATTTCTATGAATGAACCTGTGATAGTCAATGATAAAGGAGCAGCTTCACCAATTTCTCCTACACTCACTGCTATTTATAGACGTATATGCTAAAAATCATCAACTTATGTACGTTATGATAACTTACGAAGGAAAAAAAGAGAGAATATGAGTAAGATATATTACCAGGAGCGACATATCCGATTGTTCCTTTTAATCCAAGTGAACTAGTGTGGCTAGAAGAATCATGTCTAGTATGCTGAAGAAATCTTGACAAGCCAAAATCACCAAGATGAGCAACCAAGTCAGCATCCAACAAAACATTACTAGGCTTTAGATCACAATGAACCATTGGTGATCCACATTGGCAATGAATATAATCTAGGGCGCTAGCTACATCTATCATGATGTTCAACCTCTGTAAAAAATTCAGACACCTGTATGACTGCTCATTCGCTGGATCAATAACTAGCGTATTCTGGTGCAACCAGTCCTCCAAACTCCCATTAACCATATAAGAGTAAATCAGAGCCTTGAAATCATTCCCATGAAAATCAAGAGCTGAACAAGAAGTTACAATTTTTACAAGATTCCTATGTCTGATGCTTCTCAAAGCTTCACATTCTGCAAAAAAACTCTTGTCAGCACCATGAACTTCAAGTTTTAGTACCTTCACAGCAACAGCGTAGTCTACATTTTTCTCGTACAGAATTGCCTTATACACAGAGCTGAACTTTCCAGAACCAATCAAATTTGCCGAAGAAAACCCATCAGTTGCTTTGTGTAATCTTCTATAAGAAACTTGTGGGAAGTTTTCATTATCCGAACTAGTTTCTTCAGCAACCTTCTTATTATATCTTGATTTGTACACCAAACAGAAGATCACAATAAGAGTTACAGAAATCACGGTAAGCATTGGTACAACAATTATCAAGGAAAGAGGAATTCGTTTTTTCCTTGATGATCCTTCACTGGAACACTTAGGCAACTGAAATCCTTGGAAACCACCGCAAAGCTTAGTATTTCCATCAATGGAAACTATGCTTAAATTTTTGAACGCTCCGACTTCTGGTACCTTTCCCACAAAACCATTGAAAGATAAATTTAAACTTTTGAAAAACACAAAATCTCCCAGGAACTCTGGGATTTTCCCTGTTAAATTGTTGCGAGAAAGATCTAGAATTTCTAGTCCTCTTAAGGAGCGGAATGACTCTGGGATTTCTCCTTGAATGGTGTTTCCTGCAATGGATAACACAACCAAACTTGTGCAAGCTCCAAGATTAGCTGGAATCACCCCAGACATCATGTTGTTTGAAACATCAAAGGAAACCAAATTTCGCAAGTTGCCTACTTCCAAAGGAAGAGAACCTATAAAATGATTATCAGAAAGACGTAGGGATATTGTCAAGGAAGATAGACTGAAAATCCCCTTGGGTATGTTACCACTGAGATTATTTTTAGAAAGATCCAACAGCTGCAACCCCCTACAGTTTGATAAACTAGATGGTATAGGACCCTCTAGTTTGTTACGTTGTAAATAGAGTCTGCTCAATAGCGTGTGATTTCCAAATGACGATGGTATATAACCAGATAATAAGTTTCCACTGAGAGAAATAATTCCGACATTTTTGAGTTTCCCAATTGACTCCGGAATTCTACCGGTGAACTGGTTGGAGAATAGAAACAATCTTCTCATGTTAACCAGTTGCCCAATCTCGGAGGGGATATCACCAGAAATCAAATTTCCACCTACTGTGAGATCGGTAAGTAGAGTAAAATTAAACAAAGATTTTGGTAAGACTCCTCCAAGATTGTTGGCACCAAAACCTAAATCTCTTAAGTTGGTGCAGTTGGCCAAAGAGGATACAAAGTTTAGGTTATCAGATTTCCCATTCCCGAGTTGATTAATGTTGACAGCAAAATGCGTCAATCTTTGTAGCCTATCAAAGTTCGGCACACTTCCAGTAAATGCATTTTCATTGAGTGCTAGTACTTCAAGATTAGAGGCATTAGATAACGAAATAGGAATATTTCCCGAAAATTTGTTTATCGGAAGGTTAAGAAATATAAGCCCGGGAAATTTTTGTGCGATATCTGATGGCAGATTCCCGCCAATCTGATTGTCAGGCAAATCTATGTTCGTCAAGGATGATAGATTGAAAAATGACGGAGGTAGAATGCCTGAAAGATTATTCATTGCGAACCCAAAAAACCACAAATTGGACAACTGGCCAAGAGTATCTGGAATGCTTCCATGGAAATTATTTTCCAACCCAGATATAAACATAAGGGAAGTGAAGTTTCCAATAAACTTTGGTATTTCTCCTGTTAGATCATTGGAATGGAGGTTTATGTATAGAAGCTTGGTCAATGATTCAAACTCAATTGGAATCACTCCTATGAAATTGTTCCCGCTCAAATCAAGTTCTATGAGATTTTGACACTGAGATATATTAGCAGGAATTTCACCTGACAGAGAATTGTTGGAGAGTCCTAGCCTCCTTAATCTTGATAACCTGCCAATCTCTTGTGGGATGTTGCCTGTGAAACTGTTGTTGTGAAGGAGAAGCTCCTTAAGAAAACTCATATTGCCAACTTCAGGTGATATGGGACCTGAAAACCCACCAGACCACAAATTGATAGTGACCACCCGCTGGTGCCTCAGACCACATATGATGCCTGTCCAGTTGCAGATGTGGATTGACTCATTCCATGAAGGCATGATTTTATACGGGTCAGATGTTATATGTGCCTTGAGTGAGAGCAAGGCCAAGCGATCTGATTCATTTTCAGCATCAGCAGAAAAGGCCAAGAAAATATTATAAAAGAAGAAGATGCAAGAAAGGACAACATATATGGTTTGCAGGAAGCGCATATTGTTCTGATGCAGTACTCTTGGTAAAGAATCTCAGTTTTGTTTATAATGCAATTAACAGGTTTAATCTGGTAGTAATCTTTAGTAATAGAATCATGGCATGAATAATTAAGGGACCTTCCCTAATATATGTTGATTTTAATAGTACAACAAGTTGTCTCTATTCTCTTGTTTTACCCAAATTTCATTGCCAAGTGTCTTGATGTTGCTATATCTTTTGTTTAGAAGAGTTCCAGTTTCACAAGCAAGATTTTATTTTATTAGCTGACATTAAGACTTGAAGCAGCGTTGACATTTTGCATGTCGACCGCGACTTCCAAATTAATTACAATGTTTTTAGGGCATAATGATTTTTCCCAACAATATTTCAAATGATGTGTTTTTTTATACAATCACGTAAATATATAATAATCATCAGGAAATTGGTGCGCTTACCAATAAGGGGAGGCTTTACATATTGTTACAACATGAAGCATTTTTAATGTAAAGTGTACTTATGTATTTTCTGGTATTTAATGCATATTAGTAAATTAATTAACCAATTTAAATAACACCAACAAATGAAATAAAGAAATAGAAAAAAATAAGACTGCAAAAATATGATTTTTCAATAGCCATAGTATTAAAATTATGGTTACCTACTACCAGCCAAGCTTAGCCACATTAGTCAACAATTAAGGCAAATTCCAACCGAAAAATCATAGAATATAAAGGGGTGAAAAGGAAAGACTACATACACAAATTATTTACCTAAAGTATAACTATTGCTGTGTACTTGTTGAAGAATCATTGATCATCGCCGGACGAAACAATTGACAACATAGAAGTTGTAGGGTATCTTGAACCAGTCCCAAAACACTACAAGAAAATCGAGTTTCATGCAGCAACGGTGGAAGTAGTCACTATGTAGTTACTAAGGACTATTACTCTATTAGCGACAGGTCATATGGATATAATCCGTCGGAAAAGTATGCGTCGATTTGTGTAGCAACCGATATTAGCGACACAATGCTTAAAACTATTGGCAGTACAGCGACGGATAAGTCATCACTAAATAGATAAAGAACTGTAAAACCATTTTATACATGCGAGAACTTATCGGGATTGGTTTGTTACTATTTTGTTAGATGTTGTATGTTGATAAAACTGCTGCAATGTGTCTGTCACTATAGTTATAACCTTTCACCACATTAAACTTTTGTGATGATTTGTTCTGTCAATAATCTGTCACTATTTATGTTTATAACTACACATTTCTTAATTATTTATTCCTATTTTGACTGTTACGACATTCACTACAAAAATAATATAAAGGATACTTAACAAATGTTAATTTAATTAAACTCGAAAAAAATTATGTTATGGACATCTACTACGGAGAAATATTGAGTAACTAACTTGCTGAAAACAACCTAAATTCGAAAATGTTACAACATTACAACTTTCTTAAACTGGATGCTCGTTTGGTTGGTTCGTATGCTCATCCATATTGCATTCGGATACAAATCACATAATATTCTTTATTCGTTGGTACTTTGCTTTACTTAGATCACCCATTGCTTCAAATTCTTTTAGCGGACACTTTCAAAATAATAGAAAATAGAAACGGTTAAATTTTCAAACTAGAATATGTTAGTAGGAAAAAGATATTCGTATAGTAGCTAAATAGTTTATACTTTGCTGTTAAAGTTATATAATTTAAAATACATTGTTATATTATTGCAAAATTGTGATTTTTCATTTTCAAAGGACAATCTTGTTAATCAAAAAACTTAAATCATAAAGTATAATGATATATTTGTGCATTTTCAAAGTACATTGTCTTAATGGGAAAGGACTTAAGACGGAAAGTATTGTTACATATCTTTTCATTTACACTTATAATATAGTTATGCAATTAATCACATGCTATATTTTTAAATTTTCGAAGTACAATGACCAAATAGGAAAGGCTGCAAGACAAACTATAATGCTATATTTTTTCTTTATCTCTAATTCTATACTTTTACATTTTCAACATACAATGTCTTAATTGGAAATCCTTTAGAACATAATGTAAAAAGTTATATATTTTCATTTTCAAAGTACATTGTCTTCATTAGAAAAGCAACAAGACAACTACATCAACATCATCACTAATATCATCATCATCAATGAATACCTACAACTAACATGTGTTCAAGTCATTCTCAGCTACTAAAACTTCTTTTTACCACCCAAAATATTAAGTCAGTAAAGTATATAATATTTGTCCATGAATTAGAAGATTCCTAGTTGACTTTGAAGTATAGAAATGTTTTGTTTCTCTTACCACTTTCACATGATGAAATTGGGTATGGAAAAGACACCGAAATACCCCATCTTTTCATTTAAATGACTAATTAGTTTTAAAAGTCATTTGACCATCTTTTAAATCATCTTTCGTGGAAAATTCTGTCTCACTCTCTTAATTAGTTCAAAGTTCACAATATTAAAGTTTGAGGGGTTTCAATACAAAATCATAACATCAAATTAAGCCTAATATACATTTGTGGTCATTCATTATATAATGTTGGAGTCACCCAATGGTTTCAACAAAAGTTTTCTTCACAATTTGCAGTTGTTCAATGACATTTTTTATGTGTAACCCGTCTCTCGGCAATTTCATGGAGCAAGCAGTCCCAATCAGATAGATTGAAGTCAGGAACTCCTCGATTGGTCCACGGTGTTGTGTATTTTCAGTCATATTTTCCTCTTTTGTGGTTACAAAAAGGACATGATCGGTTATCTCCATAACTTTGTGTGGCATAGCCATCTTCACAAAATCATGAAGATTCAGACTGCTACAGAACATGCTGTCAGTAGGACGTTTCCCCGTAAATGATTCCAACATGAGAATTCCAAAGCTGTAAATATCACCACATGTTGATATCTTGCTACCCATCCGGTGTTCTGCATTGTTTACACATGAAGTACTCCAAACATGAAAATCTTATACTTCACTGATTATGTTTGTTGCAAAAGTTAAAAACTATTTATAGAATACGAGGACTATAGATTAATTACCAGGAGGAACATATCCGATTGTGCCTTTTATTCCAAGTGAAGTGGTGTGGCTTGAAGAAGAATCATGTTGAATAAATGTAGCCAAATCGAAATCACCAAGATGAGCAACCAAGTCATCATCAAACAAGATATTACTAGGCTTGAGATCACAATGAACGATTGGTGATCCACACTGACAATGAATATAATCTAGGGCCATTGCCACATCTATCATGATGTTCAACCTCTGTAAAAAATTCAGACAACTGTATGGCGCCTCATTCTCTGGACCAAGTAGTGGATTTTGGTGCAACCGGTCCTCCAAACTCCCATTGACCATATAAGAATAAATCAGAGCCTTGAAATCATTCCCTTGAAAATCAATACCCGAACAAGAAGTTACAATTTTCACAAGATTCCTATGTCTGATGCTTCTCAAAGCTTCACATTCTGCAAAAAAACTCTTGTCAGCACCATGAACTGCAAGTTTTAGTACCTTCACAGCAACAGCTTGTGGCATGTTTTTCTCATACATAATTGTCTTATACACATCACTGAACGTTCCAGAACCAATCAAGTTTGCCAAAGAAAACCCATCAGTTGCTTCATGTAATCTTCTATAAGAAACTTGTGGGAAGTTTTCATTATCCGAATTAGTCTCTTGAGGAATATTCTTATTATATCTCGATTTGTACACCAAACAAAAGATCACAACAAGAGTTACAAAAATCATGGTAAGTATTGGTACAACGATTATCAAGGAAAGAAGAATTCGGTTTTTTCTTGATGATCCTTCAATGGAACATCCAGGAAACTGAAATCCTTGGAAACCACCACAAAGTTTAGGTTGCGTTTAGTTAAGGAAAAACAGTTTTCATTTTCCGTTTTCCCTTTTCAGTTTTCGTTTTCCGTTTTTGGTTTTCATTGGAAAATCTAAAAAACGCGTTTAGTTAAAACTTATTCATTTTTTATTTTCAGTTTTAGAAAATTAGAAAACGTGTTTAGATGTGTATTTTTCTATCGGTTTTCATTTTTAGAA